TGAGGACTCTTAGAAAATATAAATACCAAGATGAAGACCAAGAGAAGGGGGTTAGATGGCTGAAGAGGGAAGAGAAAAAGAAACACCAATTGAGAGAAGATTAACCCGATTTTGGAGAAGAAGCAGGCAGAAAACTGAGAAATCAAGCAGCAAGACTGAGAAATAGAGCAGCAACTTGAGTTTTTCTCTATCTTTCTCTTATCCATGCACTCTAGTTTGTATTTCATTGCAATTTTATTCTCCATCATGAACTAAACTTTTAAATCTAGGGTTTGATGCAACCTATTTGAGACATAATTTAATTTCTTTATAGTATTCCAGTTGATTTTTCGAGAATTGATTTGTATTGTTCTTATGTAATGCTTTCAGTTGCTTGATCAACAATTGAATGAATCGTTGCTCTAAATTTGACGCTCGAGAGAGGAAAATTAAGGCGTGATCTAAGAACAATATAACTTAGATTTGTAGGTTTCGAGAGAAAGTGTAAATCTTTGAGGGTAAAACATGGACCAAGTGCTTGATAATCTTTATATATTTAATTTGGAATAGAGATATTGAGATTAAAATATAGAGATAGGTTCTATTTAACGTTGGAGAGAAGGAAATAGAATTAATTTAGGATTCTTGCCTATGAATTCGGGAAATAGTTGATAGGAATATCTATAGGGGTTGAGAATTATGTCGATAATATGGTGAAATCACTCCCTTAATCATAATTCTGACCCAATCTTTAAAAATTGCCTCATGTTCCTTGTGTTATTTAATTCATCGATATTAGTTTAACATTCAAACATCAATTTAACATTCGATTGTCTAGATAAAGTAAAGGTGGACATAATTATAATACTCAATAGAAGTCGAATATCAATCATTGTGGGTTCGACACTTTTCAATTCCTTAATATACTACAAAACTTGACACCATACACTTGCGGTTAAAATCACGTTGCATAAATCGCGTGGCAAGTTTTTGGCGCCGTTGCCGGGGATAGATTCATTCGATTTCAATTGATATTATTACCAATTGGCGTTCATTTTACTTTAGATTTTTATTTCTATCGTAATATTTATTTTTATTTTATTCTTTTTCTGTCTATCTTTAAAAGCTTCCTTGTGGTTATTTTCAGCTGTTTATGCGAAGGGCGAGAAATCTAGATCTACTACCTGTTGATCCTGAACCAGAACGCACATTTCGCATTCTCAGATGCATACAAAGAAACGAACAAGAAGCAATGGCAGAACAGGATGCTAGAGCAGCCAATGAGGATAACCAACAAAGGGCTATTCAGGACTACATAAGGCCGATTGCAATGACAACCATTCCGGCATCACACGCCCAACAATTGCTACAAACAATTTCGAATTGAAGCTAGGGTTGATACATATGGTGCAGCAAAATCTGTTTGGGAGTGCTGCAATAGAAGACCCAAATGCTCATCTTGGATCCTTTTTGGAAATTTGTGACACGGTGAAGATGAATGGGGTTACTGAAGATGCAATTAGACTTCGCCTATTCTCATTCTCTTTAATGGATAAAGCAAAGGCTTGGTTCCAGTCACTACCGTATGGCTCAATTACAACTTTCCACCTTCTAAATCAGCTCAACTTCGCGGTGAAATTAGCCAATTCAAACAACTTGACTTTGAGCCACTCTATGAAGCCCGGGAAAGATTTAAAGACTTGCTTAGGAAATGTCCTTAACATGGGTTCTAGAAATGGGTGCAAATTGAGATATTTTATAATGGGCTAAATGGTAGACAAGGACTATGGTAGACGCAGTTGCGGGAGGCATTTTAATGGCTAAAACAGAAGAGGCTGCATATGCTTTATTGGATAACATAGCCACCAATAGTTACCAATGGCCAAGTGAGAGATCGGGCGTAAAGCAAGTAGCACGACTTCATGAAGTGGATCCCATCACTGCACTAGCAGCTCTAGTTACATCACTCACAAATCAGATAGTCACGCTTACCACTCAAGGAAACCAACAGAAGGTAGATTCAGTCATGAGTACTTCTTTATCACACCAAGAGACAGAGGTTGCAAACGAGGAGGCCCAATATGTCAACAGTAGAAACTACAATCAAAGAGGAAGCTACCAAGCTAATCACTATCATCCAAGGCTGAGGAATCACGAGAACTCGTCATATGGCAACAATAGAAACACACTTCAACCTCCACCCGGATTCAACACTCAGAATTCTGACGGGAAACCACCCTTGAAAGACATCCTTGGGACGTTCATTTCTGAGATAAGATCATGCTTCAACAAAGATGAATCACGGTTGGATAATATTGAAACACGTGTCCAACATGGGAGCCACAATGAAGAATCTTGAAGTGCAAATTAGTCAGTTGGCTACCTCAATGAAGTCTCAGCAACAAGGAAAATTTCCAAGTGATACAGAAGTCAATCCAAAGGAGCACTGTAAAGCCATTGTATTAAGGAGTGTCAAGCAAGTTGGAGAAAGTGAACCCACTGAAGATAGCAACCCCACACCTTATAGGAGAAAGAACAAGTAGTAGAAGAGTAAGAAAAGTAGGTCAAATGAACAAATAAGGCTCACAGACCTTACTCCATATCCTTCCCTGACAACCCACCAATTCTCACACCACCACTTCCATTTCCACAGCGTTTTCAAAAGAAAAAATGTGATGATCAATTTGCAAAATTTTTAGAAATTTTCAAGAAAATTCACAATAATATTCCTTTTGCAGATGCTTTGGAACAAATGCCAAATTACGCAAAATTTATGAAGGAAGTGATGTCAAAGAAGCGAAAATTGGAGGAATATGAAATAATAAAATTGACTAAAGAATGTAGCGCTATTCTTCAAAAGAAACTTCCTCAGAAGAGAAAAGATCCGGGCAGCTTCACTATTCCATGCACCATTGGAAGCTCTTCCTTTGAAAAGGCCCTCTGTAATTTAGGAGCAAGCAACAACCTAATGGTGTTATCAGTATTCAAGAAGTTAGGCCTCGGGGAAGTCAAGACAACAATAATGACTCTACAACTAGCTGATTGGTTCCTCACTTATGCAAGAGGCATTATTGAAGACGTGTTAGTAAAGGTCGACAAATTCATCTTCCCAGCTGATTTTGTGGTACTGGATATGGAAGAAGATCAGGAAATCCCACTGATTTTAGGCAGGCCATTTTTACCAACTGGAGGACCATTAATTGATGTACAAGGAGGACATTTGACATTAAGAGTGAATCAAGAAGAGGTGAGGTTCAATATCTATCAAGTAATGAAGTATTCAGATGACACTAACACATACCACAGGATTGACTTCATTGATTCTGCTGTGCGCGATGAGAAATTATATATTGAAGATCCCTTGGAGTAGTGTATGATGTTTAGTTCAACAAAGGATGACATCAGCTCTTCTGGAGAATATGCAGGGAACAAAGACCTGTTGATTGCATATTGGCTCTAGAGTCTAGAGTCTACACCAGTTGAAAACAACCTGTCACAGTGTGAAGATATTCAAAAAATCAGAGGTATCAGATGATAAAGAAAGTAGCGAAAGCAGTAAGATTGAACTGAAGCAATTACCAGATCACCTCCGCTATGCATTTCTGGGGGACAATTTTGCATTTCCAGTGATCATTTCTTCATCACTCACCAGGGACGAAGAGGACAGATTATTGAAAGCGTTGAGGGATCACAAGGCTGCTTTGGGCTAGTCGATAGCTGACATCAAGGGGATAAGTCCTACAGTCTGCATGCATAAAATCCTCATGGAAGATTCTTACAAGCCATCCATCGAACATCAGAGAAGGTTAAACCCAGCAATGAAAGAAGTGATTCGAGCGGAGTTACTAAAGCTATTGAAGGCAGGAATCATTTTTGCCATTTTCGATAGTGAATGGATCAGTCCAGTGCAGGTGGTACCAAAGAAATGAGGGATGACAGTAATTAAGAATGACAACAATGAGCTAATTCCAACTAGAACAGTAACTGGCTGGAGGGTGTGTATTGACTATAGGAAGCTGAACAAGGCAGCCAGAAAGGATCATTTCCCACTCCCGTTCATCGATCAAATGTTGGACAGATTAACTGGCTACTCCTACTATTGTTTTCTTGATGGATATTCAAGCTACAACCAGATCGCTATAGCAATAGAAGATCAAGAAAAGACAACCTTCACTTGTCCCTGTGGAACTTTTTCCTATAGACAGATGCCATTCAAGTTATGCAATGCACCGACCACTTTTCAAAGATGCATGGTGGCAATCTTTGCAGACATGGTTGAGGACATTATGGAGGTATTAATGGATGACTTTTCAGTGTTTGGTACTTCTTTTGATAACCGCTTTCCCAATCTCTCCTTAGTGCTGCAACGCTGTGAGGAAAAGAATTTAGTTCTAAACTGGGAAAAGTGCCACTTCATGGTACAAGAAGGAATTGTGTTAGGCCACCATGTTTCAACAAGGGGACTGGACGTGGACAGAGCAAGAATTGACACAATTGCAAAGTTCCCACCAATGTCAAAGGCATTCGAAGTTTCTTAGGGCACGCTAGATTCTACAGGAGATTTATCAAAAACTTCTCAAAAGTGGCAAAACCCTTATGCAATCTTTTAGAGAAAGACACAACATTCGTACTTGATGAAGTCTGCTTACGGGCTTTTAAAACCATAAAGGCAAAATTATTCACTGCGCCAGTGATGGTAGCACCAGATTGGGATCATCCATTTGAGGTTATGTGTGATGCCAGTGACTACACAGTAGGGACGGTTTTAGGACAAAGGAGTAATAATATTTTTCGGGCAATCCACTACGCCAGCAAAACTCTTAATGGAGCTCAGCTAAATTACACCACAACAGAGAAGGAAATGCTAGCAGTAGTATTTGCATGTGATAAATTCAGATCCTACCTCATTGGCACCAAAGTGATAATTTACACGGACCATGCTGCAATTTGTCATCTCTTTGAAAAGAAGGATGCCAAGCCATGCCTAATTCGATGGATATTGCTACTACAGGAATTTGATGTAGAGATTTGGGATAAGAAAGGTAGTGAGAATGTCGTTGCAGACCATCTCTCACGGTTAGAGAATGAAAAGGTAGTGGATGACAGTCAAATTTGAGAAACTTTCCCTGACGAGATCTTGCTAGCTGTATCAACAAAGATCCCATGGTATGCTGATTTTGTTAATTACTTAGTGTTTGGAAGATTGCCACTTGACTTGACCTTTCATCGAAAGAGGAAACTCCTCCATGACGTCAAGTCATATTTGTGGGATGATCCAATATTGTTCAAAGGATGTGCTATAGAATTATCAGATCGTGTGTCCCTGGTGAAGAAACACAATCAATCATGTATCATTGCCATTCTTCACTTTATAGAGGTCATTTCGGTCCTACGTGTA